TGTTCCTGACGGCCGCCAGGCCCGAGAGATGCCGCATACGTGCGATGCCCTGATGTTTTCCAAAGCCCAGCTAAACTAACGCAAGCCCTGGGTAAGAGTGGCCTTTGGTGCGTGTTTTTTGGTGGGGCTGCGGGGGGACCAAACACGAGCGCGCAAGACGCTACTACCGCATCGCGTTCGGCGCTCAGGGGGGGGCAAATGGGCCCACAGCCAAAAGTCACTCCAGCGAAGGCTCACTCTGACGTGTAGTCGAAATACGCGCGCGATCCCCGGAAGTCCCGACCCTTTCCCCGGGACTGGTTTGTCATCCTGAATCTTTTTTCCCCACATCCTGAGTGGGGTTCTTGTTTTCCCAGAACACCCTCTCCTTCCCACCTTCCCACCTCCCGTTTCCTTTTCCATACCATCCGTACAATACCATACCATACCTACCACATCATAGCTACCATACCATACCTTCCATACCATACCATACCATAGCTGCCATACCATACCATACCTTCCACACCATACTATACCTTCCCACACCTCCAGGGAGGAACCGTCTGAGCGAGCAGGGTATTCGAATACCATACTATTTATCAGGTTTCGTGCCCCTCCCACCCCTCCAGGGAGGCCCCGCGTGAGCGAGCAGGGCATTCGAATACCATATGATGTATCAGGTTTCGTGCACCTCCCACCCCTCCAGGGAGGCCCCGCCTGAGCGAGCAGGGCATTCGAATACCATACTATTTATCAGGCTTCGTGCCCCTCCCACCCTTCCAGGGAGGCCCCGCCTGAGCGAGCAGGGTATTCGAATACCATACTATCTATCAGATGTCGTGCCCCTCCCACCCCTCCAGGGAGGCCCCGCCTGAGCGAGCAGGGTATTCAAGTATCCCGGCAAAGCAACTTAACAGCGATGTGTAGGAGCATATCTGGAAGCATTCCCCTTAAGATTCAGATGAGAATCCAGTTGTAGAATTCTGCTGTTCTCGCAGTCGTAGTCGCATCCGCGATGACAGTCGCAGTGGCAACGGCAGTCGCAGTCACAGCCTCAGCCTCAGCCTGCCTCAGCCTGCCTCAGCCTCAGCCTGCCTCAGCCTCAGCCCTCAGCCTCAGCCTGCTTCAGCCTCAGCATCAGTCTGCCTTCAGCCTCGGCCTCAGCCTCAGCCTGCCTCAGCCTCAGCCTGCATCAGCCTCAGCCTCAGCCTCAGCCTGCCTCAGCATCAGCCTGCCTCAGCCTCAGCCTCAGCCTGCCTCAGCCTCAGCCTCAGCCTGCTTCAGCCTCAGCCTCAGTCTGCCTTCAGCCTCGGCCTCAGCCTCAGCCTGCCTCAGCCTCAGCCTGCATCAGCCTCAGCCTCAGCCTCAGCCTGCCTCAGCATCAGCCTGCCTCAGCCTCAGCCTCAGCCTGCCTCAGCCTCAGCCTCAGTCTGCCTTCAGCCTCAGCCTCAGCCTCTCAGCCTTCAGCCTCAGCCTCAGCCTCAGCCTGCCTCAGCATCAGCCTGCCTCAGCCTCAGCCTCAGCCTGCCTCAGCCTCAGCCTCAGCCTGCTTCAGCCTCAGCCTCAGCCTCAGGCCTTCAGCCTTCAGCCTCAGCCTCAGCCTCAGCCTGCTTCAGCCTCAGCCTCAGCCTCAGGCCTGCCTTCAGCCTCAGCGGCCTCAGCCTCAGCCTCAGCCTCAGCCTCAGCCTCAGCCTCGCCTCAGCCTCAGCCTCAGCCTCAGCCTCAGCCTCAGCCTGCCTCAGCCTCAGCCTCAGCCTGCTTCAGCCTCAGCCTCAGCCTCAGCCTTCAGCCTCGCCTCAGCCTCAGCCTGCCTCAGCCTCAGCCTCAGCCTGCCTCAGCCTCAGCCTCAGCCTGCTTCAGCCTCAGCCTCAGTCTGCCTTCAGCCTCGGCCTCAGCCTCCTGCCTCAGCCTCAGCCTGCATCAGCCTCAGCCTCAGCCTCAGCCTGCCTCAGCATCAGCCTGCCTCAGCCTCAGCCTCAGCCTGCCTCAGCCTCAGCCTCAGCCTTCAGCCTCAGCCTTCAGCCTGCTCAGCCTCAGCCTCAGCCTCAGCCTCAGCCTCAGCCTCAGCTCAGCCTCAGCCTCAGCTCAGCCTCAGCCTCAGCCTCAGCAGCATCAGCCTGCCTCAGCCTCAGCCTCAGCCTCTGCCTCAGCCTCATAGCCTGCTTCAGCCTCAGCCTCAGTCTGCCTTCAGCCTCTGCCTCAGCCTCAGCCTGCATCAGCCTCAGCCTCAGCCTCAGCCTGCCTCAGCATGCCTCAGCATCAGCCTGCCTCAGCCTCAGCCTCAGCCTGCCTCAGCCTCAGCCTCAGCCTGCTTCAGCCTCAGCCTCAGTCTGCCTTCAGCCTCGGCCTCAGCCTCAGCCTGCCTCAGCCTCAGCCTGCATCAGCCTCAGCCTCAGCCTCAGCCTGCCTCAGCATCAGCCTGCCTCAGCCTCAGCCTCAGCCTGCCTCAGCCTCAGCCTCAGCCTGCTTCAGCCTCAGCCTCAGTCTGCCAGCCTCAGCCTCGGCCTCAGCCTCAGCCTGCCTCAGCCTCAGCCTGCCTCAGCCTCAGCCTCAGCCTGCCTCAGCCTGCCTCAGCCTCAGCCTGCCTCAGCCTCAGCCTCAGCCTGCTTCAGCCTCAGCCTCAGCCTTCAGTCTCAGCCTCAGCCTCAGCCTCAGCCTCAGCCTCAGCCTCAGCCTGCCTCAGCCTCAGCCTGCATCAGCCTCAGCCTCAGCCTCAGCCTGCCTCATCAGCCTGCCTCAGCCTCAGCCTCAGCCTGCCTCAGCCTCAGCCTCAGCCTGCTTCAGCCTCAGCCTCAGTCTGCCTTCAGCCTCGGCCTCAGCCTCAGCCTGCCTCAGCCTCAGCCTGCATCAGCCTCAGCCTCAGCCTCAGCCTGCCTCAGCATCAGCCTGCCTCAGCCTCAGCCTCAGCCTCAGCCTCAGCCTTCAGCCTCAGCCTCAGTCTGCCTTCAGCCTCAGCCTCAGCCTGCCTCAGCCTCAGCCTGCTCAGCCTCAGCCTCAGCCTCAGCCTGCCTCAGCCTGCCTCAGCCTCAGCCTCAGCCTCAGCCTCAGCCTCAGCCTCAGCCTGCTTCAGCCTCAGTCTCAGCCTTCAGCCTCGGCCTCAGCCTCAGCCTGCCTCAGCCTCAGCCTGCATCAGCCTCAGCCTCAGCCTCAGCCTGCCTCAGCATCAGCCTGCCTCAGCCTCAGCCTCAGCCTGCCTCAGCCTCAGCCTCAGCCTGCTTCAGCCTCAGCCTCAGTCTGCCTTCAGCCTCTGCCTCAGCCTCAGCCTCAGCCTCAGCCTGCTCAGCCTCAGCCTCAGCCTGCCTCAGCATCAGCCTGCCTCAGCCTCAGCCTCAGCCTGCCTCAGCCTCAGCCTCAGCCTGCTTCAGCCTCAGCCTCAGTCTGCCTTCAGCCTCGGCCTCAGCCTGCCTCAGCCTCAGCCTGCCTCCGCCTCAGCATCAGCCTGCCTCAGCATTCAAAATGTGGCCCTGGAATGGAATTCTTGGAACTCGAAGAACATGAAGTGGCCTACAGTTGGCTCCGGGCATTCAAAACCATGCCCAGGAATGGAATTCTGGGAACTGGAAGAACACGAAGTGGCCTACAGCTGGCTCCGGGCATTCAAAATCATGCCCAGGAATGGAAGTCTGGGAACTCGAAGACCACGAAGTGGCCTACAACTGGCTCCGGGCATTCAAAATCATGCCCAGGAATGGACTTCTGGGAACTCGAAGAACACGAAGTGGCCAACTGTTGGCTCCGGGCATTCAAAATCATGCCCAGGAATGGAGTTCTGGGAACTCGAAGACCACGAAGTGCGTTACTGTTGGCTAAAACAAGTCCCCGGTTTTCCGCGGCACCCGCCCGGATCCCGCCCAGACCCCGCTGGGGAGTCATGATGCTCTCTTTTGACCCTACTAGAAACCTATCAATCTTCGCTGTTAGGTAAATACGATACTATTTATCAGGTTTCGTGCCCCTCCCACCCATCCAAGGAGGCCCCGCCTGAGCGAGCAGGGCATTCGAATACCATATGATTTATCAAGCTTCGTGCCCCTCCAACCCCTCCAGGGAAGCCCTGCCTGAGCGAGCAGGGTGTTCGAAAACCGTACTATTTATCAGGTTTCGTGCCCCTCCCACTCCTCCAGGGAGGCCTCGCCTGAGCGAGCAGCGTATTCGAAAACTATACTATTTAGCAGGCTTCGTGCCCCTCCCACCCCTCCAGGGAGGCCTCGCCTGAGCGAGCAGCGTATTCGAATACCATACGAATTATCAAGTTTCGTGCCCCTCCCACCCCTCCAGGGAGGCCCCGCCTGACCGGGCAGGGTATTCAAATACCACACTATTTATCAGGTTTCGTGCCCCTCCCACCCCTCCAGGGAGGCCCCGCCTGAGCGAGCAGGGCATTCGAATACCATACTATTTATCAGGCTTCGTGCCAATTTATCAAGTATCGTGCCCCTCCCACCCCTCCCAGGGAGGCCCCGCCTGAGCGAGCAGGGTATTCGAATACCATACCATTTATCAGGCTTCGTGCCCCTCCCACCCCTCCAGGGAGGCCCTACCTGAGCGAACAGGGTATTCGAATACCGTACTATTTATCAGATTTCGTGCCCCTCCAACCCCTCCAGGGAGGCCCCGCCTGAGCGAGCAGGGTTTTCAAATACCATACTATTTATCAGGTTTCGTGCCCCTCCCACCCCTCCAGGGAGGCCCCGCCTGAGCGAGCAGGGTATTCGAATACCATACTATTTGTCAGGCTTCGTGCCCCTCCCACCCCTCCAGGGCGAGGGCGGGTGGCAGACAAGAAGCAATGTAACCCCGTAACATCCTTATGTGGGGATCTCCGTTAGCATAATTTGACAGTCCTGGAACCTTGTGTAAGGGCCCCCCAGGGGCCGAAGACGATGAAAAACACCCCGTCCTGGTTCTCTTGTCACGACGCGAGCATGCCCGGGGCCAAAAACCTCCCGTTGTGATTTTGCCATGGCGCGAGGGGGGATCTGGGCACGGGTGCCCCCTGCGGAGAGGGCTGCGAGCACCATCCAGATGGTGCCGAGGCCAGGCGCCTCCGCTGACTGCTTCTCCTCCCCAGGCAACGCCCAGGAGCTCACCACTGTGGGGGTTAGCCCTCTCCTGCTAAGGAGGAGGCCCCCTCCCCAGACATCCAGCGTCTCGAATTTTTCGAGACACGGGCCCCCGACCTCTCGACCACTTCCCCGGGACCGGCTTTCATCCCGAGTTGTTTTTTGACGGTCCCGAGGCCCGGTAGGGGCCCCGAGAGGCCGAACACTCTGAAAAACCTCCGCCTCGATTTTTTCGAGACGCCCGACGTCTGGGTCAAGATCAAGACACCCCAGCCCCGTCAGAGTGTCCTAAGACAGCCCAAACCGTCCAATAACTCCCGGTGTCCTGAGTCCTCGGTCCTCAAGAGAGGAGCTGCTGACCCCCCCTCCGTGTCCAGGCGGGTCGCAAAACATGGGGACGAGCGAACCAGTCGACTAAATGGATGGGGAAGAAAAGGTGCCCTTAGGGAGCCCTACAAGGGGGAAGAAAGGGCCCCAGAAGGGGCCCTGAAGGCCCCCTCTGGGGCCCTAAAGGGCCTCTGGGGCCCCAAAGGGCTCCTTTTTGGCAGCCCTTGCTGCTCCTCGTTTCATCGTCCCCCCATTACACGTCCTTCGATTTTCCTGGCGCCTCCCGGCGCTAGGAGCAATATCCGGCCCGGGCCCTTTGAGGAGGAGTTGGCGACCCCCCCGGAAGTGGTGACCTCCTTGGCATTGCTTCTCCGAGGGGGAACGAAAAAGGAGGGAGTCGGCTCAAGGGTCGAGTTGGGGATCGACTACCGAATATATTTACGCACATTTGGTTTTTGTCAGTCGAATCTGCGGAACGTGCGTCGAATGCTCCGTAGATCTATCGAGCATTCTATGCATTTGTCGTGGATTCGACGGAAAGACCAATTCTGTGATGAACCACTTCTGTAGTCGATTCCCTACTCGCAGGGGGGAACATCAACTCGGAATCGGCGATAGGTCGGCGACAGGCCCCCGAGAGCGAAACTCCACATTCCTGGGCGGGGTAGGGGGTCCAAGCCCCGAGCGGCGACGAGTGGACGATTGGTGTCGATACTTCCCCCTTCATTGGGGCCAGCCCCCCCTGAGATCCGACGTTGCAAAAAATTGCAATGTCGCGGAAAAATGCGACCAGAGCCCCAGACCCCATCTTTCCGCGGCATTTTTCGAGCGAGATCCATCTGTGATGGTCCCGGGGCCTGAAACTGGGCAGCAACGCCCGCTGTGAGAAATGGCAGCGCCCGGATCTCAAGGCCCCCTGCCGTTGCAACCCTGAGCTCTCTCCTCTGGGCACGACACCACCTGCCGGCCTGGCGTGGGCGGCTGCGAAAGACTGCACCGCCATAAGCGCCGGCGGCAGTGCGAGAGCTCGGCAGGCTGGCCCCACACAGCTGGGTCCGTGTAGAAGTCGAAGCCGTACTGCCAGCCGTCCTCTCGGGCTGGTCTTGGTTCGGGGTTTCCAGACATGCGAGGATCCGAAACAATTGGAGCGGCCGATTTGTGGTCATTCTCAGTCTCTGCGGGCCCTCAAGAGGTCGTGGGGCCGTGAACCGACGACTTAGGATGAAAAGCGGGCCCTGGGGAAACTGTCTAGGCCTCCAGGGGTCCGCGCAATGAAAAAATTGGAGCGCCGGATGTCTGGGTCTGGGGCTTTCTGCGGGCTTTTGGGGCCTCCTTGGGGGCGCCGCCGTCGCTGAAGCTGGATCCGCCTCCGAATTAGGTGCCCTGGGATGGGACCAGGGCAGATACTGTCCGCCGGATCCGGACCTCCCGCAGCGGGCTCCTGTGGGGCTGTGTTCGGGCCTCGCGGCCATCAGAAACGGGTCTGGGACGAGAAACTACCCCTGGGGAATGGGCTGGAAGGCTCTGGGGAGGAGGAAGAGGAGGAGGAGGAGGAGGAGGAGGAGGAGGAGGAAGAGGAGGAGGAAGAGGAGGAGGAGGAGGAGTCAGTCCTTCTCTTCCTCCGATCACACACTCCCTCCGCGGGAGCCGCGCCTCGCTGAGCCGAGGGGGGTTGGGGCCTGGGGGAGATCGAGGCTCGAGGCTCCTGGAGGTGAGGCTGCTGGAAACTCTTCGCTTCTTTGGCTCCTCCTGCGGCAACTCTGGAGCCGCGGACTACACAATTCAGGCCAAATGCGTGCAAAGATGTCCGGTGATGAACTGGCTTGGAATATCTGTAGCTCGCGCGCGCGGGGCCGCCCCTGGGAGACCCCGGACGACAACCCAACCATGTGCAGATGTGCACACTAACAATGTTGGTGCGTTTTCTGCGCTATATTTGTCTTTGTCTTGGGTGGTTGATTTGTTGCATCAATGCATTTATCACCATCGGTCGCCATCGAGTATGATTCGGAGTATGCGGCTGTTGCGCAGCGGCACATCCGAGGGCGGACGAACCTTCAGCTTACTCTGCGGCTTCGTCATCTCTTCGATCAGATTGCTTGTCATGTTGTCTCCAGGAAGGCTAAGAGCCATACTGGGCAATTTCTGAACGAGCGTGCTGATCATTTGGCCGATTGTGGTGCCTCTGGAATCTTACATCGCCCAGCTGATGTTCATCGCAGGGCGAGCTCTTGGAGCTAATCTGTGGCGTTTTGGTCAGGAAGCACCTGATCTTTCCAGCGTCATGCAGTTGTGAATATCGCCGTTGTGGGTATCGCCTTCGGTGGATCTCCTCATTGGGCCACGAAGCGTGTAAAGGGTGTGCCGAAGTGGGGTGGGGCCATGCGGGCGCTGCTACTGGGGCCTTGGGTGTACCTCAAATGGGGCCACGAAACGTGTGAGGGGTGTGGCAAAATGGGGCGGGGCCGCCATGCGAACGTCGCTACTGGGGCAGTAAGAACCAATATCGAATCGCGAAGCGGGATCGAAATCGAAATCGCGTCGAATCTTTTGCAATCGGTGTTCAAATCGGAGATCGCCGCATCGGCTCAGAAGTCGGAAACTGCAAGCTGGATCGGAATCGAATTCCTGACAATTTGTTCACTCTCGGATCCGAATCGAATCGGAATCGAAGTGGCCCCAGCGCAGGGAGATCGACGGATATGGGAAACGTATCGCAGTGGACGACAACGACCACGACGACGATGCGCAGGGGCGTCCCGGGCGGCCTCCGAAGGGCATACTGGGCGGCCCCTGCATGGGAGCATCCCGAGCATCCCGGGCGTCCCGGGCAGCGTCCCGGGCGTCCAAGACCGACGCCCCGAGTATCCCGGGCATCCCTGGCAACGTCCCAGGCGCCCTGGGCGTCCCCAGCGGGCGTCCTGGGCGTACCAGGCAGCCTGGGCGGGCTCCCAGCCGTCCCGGGCAACACCAGAGGCCAGGGCCGAGTGTCCGAGGTTCGGACTTTGAGCGTTCGACCAACCCAGACATCGGGCATCTCGAAAAAATCGCGACGGAGGTGTTTCAGAATGTTTGGCCTCTCGGGGACCCTGCTCTGCCTCGGGACCGACCAAAAACAACTGGGGATGAAAACCGTGTCTTGAAACAAGAACAGAGACGCCGGATGCCTGGGTTTGAGCGTTGGTTCGACCAGCGGCCTCGAGCCAACATGAACTAAGCGGCGAGCCCCCTCGGCGACGAGCGCGGCGGCAAGTGCGACGACGAGTGCGGCGAGTGCAGCGAGCACGACGAGTACGAGGGCGAGTGCGACGAACACGACGGCGAGCGCGACGAGCAGGACGAGCACGACGGCGAGCGCAGCCAGTGCGACGGCGATGCGAATGTGACGAGTGCGACGGCGAATGCGACGAGCACGAAGGGGGCGCGACAAGTACGAGGAGCGCGACGGCGACCCCAGCTTGTACGGAGATGGGAAACCAATTTCGGCACACCCCTCACACGTTTCGTGGCCCCAAAGAGAGCTCCGCCGAAGGCCCCAATGGCAGGGTTCGCATGCGGTTCCACCCCCCATTTCGGTACACCCCTCGCACGTTTCGTGGCCCCACAGGGAGCTCCACAGAAGGTGCCAGTGGCAGGGTTCGCATGCGGTTCCACCCCTCACTTCGGCTTACCCCTCACACGCTTCGTGACCCCACAGGGAGCTGCGACGAAGGCCCCAATGGCTGCGTTCGCATGCGGTCCCACCTCCATTTTGGCACACCCCTTATACGTTTCGTGGCCTCCTAGGGAGCTCCACCTAAGGCTCCAATGTCAGGGTTCGCAAGCGGTTCCCCGCCTGATTTCATCATGCTCTCACACGTTTCGTGGCCCCGTAGGAAGCTCCACCCAAGGCCCCAGTACTGCGTTCTCATGCGGTTCCACACCCCATGTCAGCACACCCCTCACACGTTTCCTGGGCCCAAAGAGAACTCCACCAACTTCCCCAGTGGCAAGGTTCGCACGCGGTTCCACCTCCATTTGAGCACACCGCTCACACGCTTCGTATCCTCATATGGAGCGCCACCGACAGACCCAATGGCAGGGTTGGCATGCGGTTCTATCCTCAATCCCGCACACCCCTCACATGTCTTGTTGCCCTATCGGGAGCTCCACTGAAGGCCCCAATGGCAGGGTTCGCATGCCGTTCCACCCAAGTTCGGAACACCCCTCGCTGCGGCACCCACAAAGGCACATGCTTGGGTCATTTGCCAGGCTATGTTTTCCCTAACCATCCTGTGGCGGTGGGTCTTCGTTTTGAAGGGACAGAGCCCCGCGGCCCCCTGTCCTCTCCTCTCCTCCTCCTTCTCTTCCTCCATCCCCTTCCTTCCTTGCTCGTCTTTTCTGCTCTTCACATGTCAACCATTCGGCACACCCCTTACACATTTCTTGGCACCATAGGGAACTCCACCTAAGGCCTCAGTGGCTGCGTTCGTATGCGGTTCCACCCCACTTTCGGCACACACCGCACATGTTTCTTGGCCTCATAGGGCGCTCCGCCGAATGCCCCAGTGACTGCGTCCGCATGCGGTTCCACCCTCATTTCGGCACACCCCACCCATGTTTCTTGGCCCCATAAGGAGCTCCACCGAAGGCCCCAATGGCTGTGGTCGCATGCGGTTCCGCCCCCATTTCGGCAACCCCTCACATGTCTCGTGGCCCTATAAGGAGCTCCACCGAAGGCCCCAATGGCTCCGTTCGCACGCGATTCCACCCGCATTTTTCGGCACCCCCCTCACACGTTTCGTGGTCCCACAGGAAGCTCCACCGAAGGCCCCAATGGCTGAGTTCGCATGCGGTTCCACATCCCTCACCGGTTTCGTGGCCCTTTAGGGAGCTCCACCGAACGCCCCCCATTTCGGCAACCCCTCACACGCTTCGTGGCCGCATAGGTAGCTTCACTGAATGCCCAAGTGGCTGCGTTCGCATGCGGTTCTTCCCCCATTTCGGCACTCTCACACGTTTCGTAGGCCCTATAGGGAGCTCCATCGAAGGCCCCAGTGCCTCAAAGGGGGCTCCACCGACGGCCCCAGTGGCGGCGTTCGCATGTGGTTCCACCCCCATTTTTTGGCACACCGCTCACACGTTTCGTGGCCTCATATGGAGCTCCACCAAAGGCTCCAATGGCTGCGTTCGCATGAGGTCCCACCATCCATTTCGGCACACCCCTCAAACGTTCCGCGGCCCCATGGGGAGCTCCACTGAAGGCTTCAGTGGCTGCGTTCGCATGCGGTTCCACCCACTTTCGGCACACCTCTCACACGTTTCGTGGCCCCATGGGTGGCTTCACCGAATGCCCCAGTGGTTGCGTTCTCATACGGTTCCACCCCCCATGTCGGCACACCCCTCACACGTTTCGTGGCTGCTTCCTCATGCGGTTCCACCCCCATCTCGGCACACCACTCACACGTTTCGTGGCCCCATCCACCGAGGGCCCAAGTGGCTGCGTTCGCATGCGGCTAGGGAGCTCCACCGAAGGAGAGAATCACAACCGCGGTACTCACAACTGCATATGGTTGGGTCCTTTGCCAACTATGTTGTTTTCTCTCCCTTCCGACGATCTCGGACCGACGGCAAGACAGGTTAAGAATCGGTGCCGATCCACTCAACGTATATCGCCTCGGCAATGTGCACAATGCGAATCAGACAGTCGCCAGGCAAACCCGGGACTCCACACAAGCCGACTTGTAATAAGCAAGCTCATGTGGAAAATCGTGGCAGACAGACGCGGAATAACCCTACTCGTTCTGAAAAGCGATTATTAAATCTCTCTCAATACGCATAGGAGTGCTCAGATTGCAAGGAGCGAGCGTTCTCGCATGTCAGCTGACAAACTTACAGAATGTACTGTTTCAGATGTTATACGAAGTTTTTCTCCACATTTTCTAAAATTGCTACGTACCTGTAGATTTGACAGGCAGACGCAAAAATGACCCACTACACGTGGAAAATACTGGTCCTCAAAACGAATTCTCAAGTCTCAGCTGGCGTTAAACCGTCAACCTTGGTTACTGCCGATAACTTCTCGTATTCTGCGCGCGCAAGAGTGCGTTATTTCATACAAATCTGCACAACTCCTTGCTTCTCGAACTGGAAGCCGCCATAAACCGTTAACCAGGTTACCGCTAGGACCTTCGTAGAACTCTTGATATCACGACAGGAAAAGCTTAAACACTAAACACATGTATGTGTTTAAGTTTATTTGAAGGTAGTTCCGCATAGCGTTTAATAGTACTGCAGCTACGGACCTGAAACTTTCAGAGGCCGGCGCGCCATAACCTACAACATAATTACCATGGCGACGTACCCAACCCCTGCGCAATGCGGGGCATGAGTAGATTGGGAGTCGTTATACGGACGTGATGACGTGACATGGGCGCATACACTTCTGCGAGAGGCATTCGTGAGGCTCGCAGCCCCCCACGGATTGCGATGTCCCGCTCAGATCTGCCTGGTGCCTCGCTCCGCTGGACCCACCAGCAGCCCTCGAAAGTGGCGACAGTCTCGCAGATCGCACCCCCCCAGGGACGGCGAGGTCCCGCTCAGATCCGCGCGGTGCCTAACTCCGCAAGACCCACCAGCAGCCGTCGAAAGTGGCGACAATTTCGCAGATCGCAGCCCCCCAGGGACGGCGAGGTCCCGCTAAGGTCCGCGCGGTGCCTCACTCCGCAGGACCCACCAGCAGCCCTCGAAAGTGGCGAAAGTTTCGCAGATCGCAGCCCCCCAGGGACGGCGAGGTCCCGCTCAGGTCCGCGCGATGCCTCACTCCGCGGGACCCACCAGCCGCCCTCGAAAGTGGCGACAGTCTCGCAGATCGCAGCCCCCCACGGACGGCGAGGTCCCGCTAAGGTCCGCGCAGTGCCTCACTCCGCAGGACCCACCATCAGCCGTCGAAAGTGGCGACAATCTCGCAGATCGCAGCCCCCCAGGGACGGCGAGGTCCCGCTCAGGTCCACGCGGTGCCTCACTCCGCAGGACCCACCAGCAGCCCCAGAAAATGGCGACAGTCTCGCAAATCGCAGCCCCCCAGGGACGGCGAGGTCCCGCTCAGGTCCGCGCGGTGCCTCATTCCGCAGGACCCGCCAGCAGCCCTCGAAAGTGGCGACAATTTCGCAGATCGCAGCCCCCCAGGGACGGCGAGGTCCCGCTCAGGTCCGCGCGGTGCCGCACTCCGCAGGACCCACCATCAGCCGTCGAAAGTGGCGACAGTCTCGCAGATCGCAGCCCCCCAGGGGCGGCGAGGTCCCGCTCAGGTCCGCGCGGTGCCTCACCCCGCAGGACCCACCAGCAGCCCTCGAAAGTGGCGACAGTTTCGCAGATCGCAGCCCCCCAGGGACGGCGAGGTCCCGCTCAGATCCGCGCGGCGCTTCACTCCGCAGGACCCACCAGCAGCCCTCGAAAGTGGCGACAGTTTCGCAGATCGCAGCCCCCCCAGGGACGGCGAGGTCCCGTTTGGATCCGCGGTGAGTGCCCTCTCTGCTGGCCTCCCCAGCAGCCCTCGAAAATTGCGACAGTTTCGCAGATCGCAGCCCCCCACGGATGGCGAGGTCCTGTTTGGATCCGCGGTGAGTACCCTCTCTGCTGGCCTCACCATCAGCCATCGAGAGTGGCGACAATTTCGCAGATCGCAGCCCCCCGGGGACGGCGAGGTCCCGTTTGGATCCGCGGTGAGTGCCCTCTCTGCTGGCCTCCCCAGCAGCCCTCGAAAGTGGCGACAGTTTCACAGATCGCAGCCCCCCAGGGACGGCGAGGTTCCGTTTGGATCCGCGGAGAGTGCCCTCTCTGCTGGCCTCCCCAGCAGCCCTCGAACGTGGCGACAGTTTCGCGAAAGGGACGGCGAGGTCCCGTTTGGATCCGCAGCAGCCTCCCCAGCAGAGTGGCGCAGATCGCAGCCCCCCAGGGACGGCGAGGTTCCGTTTGGATCCGCGGTGAGTGCCCTCTCTGCTGGCCTCCCCAGCAGCCCTCGAAAGTGGCGACAGCTTCACAAATCGCAGCCCCCCAGGGACGGCGAGGTCCCGTTTGGATCCGCGGTGAGTGCCCTCTCTGCTGGCCTCACCATCAGCCCTCGAAAGTGGCGACAGTTTCACAGATCGCAGCCCCCCAGGGACGGCGAGGTCCCGTTTGGATCCGCGGTGAGTGCCCTCTCTGCTGGCCTCCCCAGCAGCCCTCGAAAGTGGCGACAGTCTCACAGATCACATCCCCCCAGGGACGGCGAGGTCCCGTTTGGATCCGCGGTGAGTACCCTCTCTGCTGGCCTCCCCAGCAGCCCTCGAAAGTGGCGACAGTTTCACAGATCGCAGCCCCCCAAGGACGGCGAGAGGAGACAAGAGGGAGGCGGGAGGCGGGAGGCGGGAGAAGGACGCGACAACACCCCTCTATTTAAAACGAATACCCAACCAAGGAGGGTTGGGAAACATACAGGAGCTCTGTAGCTTGCTTTCTGCTCGAGTTAAACTCACGAAACCATTATCACCTCGGGAAATGCATCCGACGACCGACGGTTGCTCCTAACCGGAAGCCGGCGGTAAACCGTCAACCTTGGTTACCGCCGGGAATTCGTAGAGCTTCCTTGTCATATATGTGGATGGCATGCGAGCGCGGCAATCTTGCATTCAGCTCGCGAGGGTGTGTGTGGTCTCATAGAAATGTGCTGGACAGCTTTTCGCTCCACATCTCGAGTTCAGCCGACGGTTGCTAAAAGTGGGAGAGAAAAGTGGAGCAGAGACAAGTGGAGCTCGCTTCCTTCACGTCGATCTATCCCTTATCCTGAGATCCGACGTCTCAAACAATTGAAACAACATCTTGAGAAATCAAAGCTGGAGCCCTAAACCCCATCTTTCTGCGGCATTCTTTGAGCTCGACCGATTTGTGAGGGTCCCGGCACCCGAAGCTATGCGAGAATCGCCCGGCTCGAAAATTCGAGACGCCAGGATCTAAAGGACCCGCGTCCTTCGTTGTCGATGCATCCCCGATCCCCGACGACGACGAAAGTCCTCGTCGCACGGGCCACTGGGGGCCTGCGCCACGCTCCAGCCCAGCGAGTGCTCGGGCCAGCCCCCTGGCGGCCTGAGCGGCGGGCGCCCTGCCAGGGCCGAGGCGACCCAGGTGATGCCCTGCGCCCAGGGGTGCTGGCGGAAGTGGTGGTCGACCCACCTGGCGGAAGAAAGCACGGCGCAAACATGTAAACTTCCGACGGTCTGCGCTGAGTTCTTGGATCTGCGCTGGACACCCCTCGCGCGGAGCGCACCAGGGGCGGCGCCGGGGAGGTCCAGCGGAAATCAGCGCGGACCGTCGAAAGTTTATGTTTGCGCCGTTGTTTCTTCTTCGACCACCGGCAGGACTTCTCGCCGTCGTGGGGCAGGAAGGGGGCCTCTGGTGGGAGGAGGGGGCGGGGGTCGAGACAGCGGCAGGCCCTCTCATGGCGTTTTTCGTGCTCTGTGGGCCTCCTGGGAGCTCCTCGTCGCCACGGCTGGGAGCCGCCTGGAAGAGCAACTTCGGATGGACCCCAGGGTGGCTCTGGGGGCTGATTTTGAGCGGGCTTGGGCCGCCAGCGCGGCACACCCCGCGGGAGCGAGGGCGCTTACGCGCGACCTTACGCGGGAAACTTGCGCACGAATGTCGGCGCGATCGCCCCCGTTTGTTCACGTTGCTCTCTTGGCGGCGCGCGTCAGAGGGCTGGCCCAGGGGGCTCCTGGGCTGGGAAGCCTCCGAGAAGGCTTCTCGGAAGCTCGGATGCATGCGCAGACGCTCTCGGAGGTCCGCGCGGATCTCTTTGGTCGGCGCTGCACCACGCTCCCCACCCTCCTTCCTGGCGAGCGAAAACAGCCTGGGGCGGCGCCAGGGGCGGCGCCAGAGGCGACGCAGGCGCCGCTGGGGAGGGTTCGGTGGCAACTCATGGGAGCCTCCCCTACCACGTTCTTGCCCGATGGTAGTCGACGCTAATCGACGGTGATCAACTCTAAATTGACACTAGTCGATGCTAACCGACGCCAGTCGACGCTAAATCGGCGCTACCTCGTCTCAACGCCACTCGACGCTGAAGACGAAATTAAGACGGCATACGAAGCTTCCATAATTTGCTACCGAAGGGAAGGCTACGTATGCTGAGGGGGATCCCGCGCCGATCCAAAACATCCGTGTGGACGTCTGAACCATCACGCTCACGCTTTTTACTCGGGGATCTACTGGCCCAGGGCAACCCAAACTCGGGCTAGTCAAGCCCTGCAAGATCCCACAGGATGATGCCGGATACTGCACCCAAGCCCTGGCCCTGCAGAATCCTGCAAGATCAGGCGCTATGACTGACCCCCGCTTGCATTGACCCCGCGTCTCTTGAGCTCCGTCACTTGAGCTCTGTGCTGGCGGCGGCGCTCCTCTCGACCCGTCGGCGGGGCCACGCACGACTGACCCCGGCGAGGGCAGGCCCAGCAGGCCTCCCAGGTCTGATGGAAGAGCGTCACGCGGCGCTGGAGCTCCCAGGCCTCGCGGGGGGGCTCGGCCGCAAAAGGGGGGGCGTCCAGCAGCAAGGGGAGGCTCGCAGACCGTGGGCCGAAGCATGTGCGCAGGCGAGGGGGGGACCGTGGAAAGTCTCATATAAACAAGCGCGCACACTACTCGCGGAGGAACTACTGGCAAATTGCCTCGATCCGCCGTGGGGTGTTATGTATGTGTATATATATATGTGTATATATATATATATATATATATGTATATGTGTATATATATATATATATATATATATATATATATATATATATATATATGTGTGTGCGTGTAGATAACTGGAACCACGCGTGCTCATAGTTTCTAGCCAAGCCAAACTCTTGACAAGCTCAGGGCTCCACGGAAGTGAGTGCCGTCTTGGACCGTCTTGCTCCTCCTCCTCCTCCTCCTCCTCCTCCCCGTCCCTGTCCTCCTCCTCCTCCTCCCCGTCCCTGTCCTCCTCCACCTCGTCCTCCTCCTCCTCCTCCTCCTTCTTTCATTCATTCATGGGCATTAAGAGGTCAGCCAAATCCAGGCTCGCCTGACCTCGGGAGAAAGATTAGTCAGAGTCGTCCGAGACCTGCCCTGGAACCAAAGGCGGGGGGCCCCTGGCCCCTGTATGGGCCAGGGAGGCCCTCGCTCCGCGGAGGGAGGTGGCGCCGTCGGCCTGGGGCCCGAACAGAAACCTCGACGCCTCCTCCTCCTCCTCGAAGTCGCTCGCACGGGACGGCGCGGCGACGGCAGGACGGACTGACTCGACAGAATCGGCTGCGGGCTGCGCAGCTGCTGAAAGATCCCAATCCCCGCCCAACTCCCCACCCAGGTCCCACCACCACTGGGCAGCTCCGTGGAGGACTCTCCATGGGCGGGAAAGACGGGTGCCTTTGGGCCAAGGCAACGTGCCTCGGCGAAAACAGCGAACCTGAGCTTTCTTGATCTTAGCGCAGGGTCCTAGGAGATGCTTGGGAGTGCGGGTGCAGTACGACCCGCACCTCGAGCAGTACAGGACTGGAATGCCTGAAGAAACAACCTTGCACGCCCACATCCTGTGTCCTGGGGAGGGAAGGTTGCATCCCCTCACCAGGGCCCCAAAGGTGGGAGGGAGTGCAGCACGCCGATTCGTGCGCGACGGGGGAGACCTGAAGCTCTTAGCGCACGAGAGGCACTGCCATAATCGGCCATTCCACAAAACGTTGTGCTGCCTATGGTTTCGGGGGGGTGGCCTTAAACTCTTCGATTCTCGTTCCAGGGTGCCGTGCATTTCCCTAGCTGAAGGCCAGGGTTCTAAAATCGACACCGCAGCTTTAAACACAGCAAACCAACCGTCTAGGGATTCTTTACAGGCCTCGGCATCCTGGGGGGAGGCATATTCACGGGCGGCCTCACGACACATGACATCGGCCCAGGCATTCCCTATTACTCGTAGTTGGTCTGCCCATTCTCGATCTCCTCGCTGGAGGGTCTGGTGTGCCTGGACTTTATGTATGGTAAACTGCTTATCCAATCTCTGAATGGCTCGCCAGTGGCCTGCCTGCTGGGAGGTGCCGTCCAGGGCTCTGAACGAAAAATCACATCCAGTGAGCAGGGCCTGACAGTCTGCAAAAATATCTGCCTCTTCATCGAATCTTGCAGGATCTTGCCACAGGTGGCGTAGTCCCTGGAGGAGCCCATGATGTTCTGCCCAGGCAGCGTTTTGAGGGTACTTCCTGGGAAGGGGACCTCGGACCGCACGTTTCAGGTCGCCTCCAGCTGTGATTTCAACTGCCGTCCAGCCCGCTCGGGCCAGAAGAGGGTTCGTGGGTTCCAGACAACTGCCATCGATGAAGATCTCGGTAGGGCACGTGAAATCGAACTCGTCAATTTCGCCGACCCTGTCGCAATACTCAACTATATCATCATCAGGAGGAAATGTCTTGATTTCGGGCACGGGGATCCACAGCTGGGTGTAAAGGGGGTCCTTACCCGCAGAACTTCGGGCCGCATCAACAATGACAGGGTCGACATTTCCTCTTGCTGAGTCCCCATGGGGACAGTGCCATAGCCTATGGAAGACAGTGTCGCACAGGCCGCAGTACGGGCAGGTCGGCCCCACCTTGAAACATCGCTTCCAAAGAAGATGGCTGGTGGGAGTTGTGCTGCATATTAAATCTCTCAAGCGCCTCTTTGAATCGTAGCACCACTTGCTGCTGTTCCAGACCTTGCTGAAAGGGAAACCCCACAAACCTCGATTTCTCATCTCGTTGGCCCCGGGGTGGATGTCATCGTCGGGGACCTCGGATTCACATAGTTTTTTGCACACCGAGCTTTCCAAAAACTTCTGCCTGAGGTCTGCCGTGAACAGCTTCTGTATGAGAGCTGGTGGGGACTCCGTGATCTTGAGCTCGAGCTCATTGCTGGTCTTGACCGTCGTGGGGCCTTTGAAATACCAGCCTGCCTGCTCCGTCCAGAAAAAGGGAGTCCGCGAGAGGGCTCCTAACCTTGCAGGCCCAACTCTTACCCCGAGGTACTTGATCAAAGAACCTCTGGGAGAACTCGTAGCCCTGGCGAAGCTCCTTCGGGCTGAGAGCATCTGGCGCCTTAATCTGGCTGTCTGTGGTCATCCACCACTCCCTGCAATACCGCTTGAAGGTCGCACTGGCGTGGGAGATGGGGTCGGACTCTGGCTTCATGAGCCAACAAATGTTGATGTCACAGCCAGGCGACCAAATGCCGAGAAGCCGTGCAGTCTGAACTCTTAACTTTTTTTATTTCCTGAGGTGAATGTCCTGAGACTTCTTCCCCATAGCATATGGAGGGCTTGACTCCGCAGGTGTATATTTTGACCTTTTTGGGCTTGCCTTGTTTGCGATCCCGAAGTCGACAGATTTTGGGGGGACGCTTCATGTTCTCCTTCCACCTGGACATCTTTTTCGATCTGCATCCTCTGGCAGCCCTGATCTTCCCCACGTTATAGTCCACCCCCAGATTGGTAATGGAATTCTTGATGGACCCGGAATATTCCCCAGGAGCCCCAGGAGCTTGCTTCAAGACCTCGAAGTTGTTAGCCGTGAAGTTAAGCTTCTTCATATGGATGGGGAGCTCGAGGGTATACGTAAACTTATGAAATATCCTAGCTGCAAGATCCGACAAGCCATTCAAGCACGCTTCAACAGTGCATCCTATCGAGTCGAACGCCAAGTCGTCGATGTGTATCGAGAGAGACGTGCCATCGTGGATCGTCGCGTCGCGGATCGTCGGAATCATATATCCTTTGACTTCGAAAGTGGCCGCGGAGGAGCCCGCTACTATCCCTCTGGCGGGGTAGAGGGGCTCGCCAACTGCGTTGTCCATGAGTAGCCTCCGTGGCCACCTGTAAGAATCGAGCGCCGCCTTCAGCGCGAACAAAAGGAAATCACACCTCATGCCCTCGCTGAGCATTGTGCGATGGCCGATGTGCTCGTAGCACTGCTTCAAATCTGCCAGGAGGGTTGCTACAAACTTGCCTGAATGATCTGCAATGTCGCCTCTCACCACCGCCCTCCAGACGGAATCCGTAGTGTGTCTATGTGGGGCTATGTTGAAATGTTTCGACTTGGCCGAGATTCGTTCCCATTCGCGGCAGTGGTGAGATAGGCTCCTAGAGTATATGCGGCTGAAGCTCTTGAAAAACCCGATGGGCCTTCGACCTCCAGTCGCCTTGCGGAATAGTGCAACTATCAACTCTTTCAGCATCGAAGGGCTGCTTCCTAGAACGTTCATGGTGTTAACGATGCCTTCCATGACCTCTAGGGCTCCTTCTGAGAGCTGGGAGAAGTGCTTGGGGTGGTACCCGTCCACAGCGGTGGTGAACATCTTGAACTTTGACGAAATCTTCCGTAATTGGTCTCTGGAGGGGCCTGGGGGAATCCAGTAGTTGGTGTCCAGGGGGTCCAGCAGCTGAACTCGGGGCTCGTGAACCCCCCAAGCCTTGCTCCAAATATCATGTTGCTCTTGAAACCGTAGGCCGAAAGCTGAAGAGCGGGCTCCATCAGGATGTTTGACAGTATCCTCGTCTCCTCCTCCAGAAACCTTGGTACTGCTATGTCCTCGTTTCGCCCCTCCAGCTAAAGCCTCCTCACACCAATTTTCCCA